TATATATACATATATATATACATATATATATATATATGCTTCTAGAAGATTAAAATTCGATAAGAGAAATTTATTGAACTCGAGTTTACTCATTTTAACGATCATTAATGTAAATTCTCAAAAGATATAAGAAAATCTCATTCGGGGGGGGGGAGAGAGTTTACAAATCTGAACAACTCTAGTGATATTAACCCCCAACAGCTGGTATTGTCTAACTACCATTGCCCGACTGTCTTCTTCAAATCATTATTGTCTGACTACCATGTTCATCTATAAATTGTTACCTAATCATCATCTCCTTGCTATCATCGTTTAAGCATCATCCTAAATTTCTTTTACCATCCTTAAATTATTTTAAACTATATTGTATCATTTTCCCTAGCATGGAGGAAGAATTAAAATAAAAATTTACTTATGTAGTGAATTATATCATGCATTTCATTCAAGCTATGCCCCTTGGTTTTTCTTTTCTTGATACCAAAACTCTGGTGTCTCTTACAATCATTTTTATTTGTCTATTTATGTACAAATTCCTCATACATAGCTAAAAAATAAAACTCTCTGACTTTACCATCACAAATATTTTAATGTGTAATAATTTGACACTATTTATGAAGATATTCTCATTTTTCTGCAAGCACATGTCCAACAGTTCATATTTATAATTCTTATAATACGAATCTTCTTTCATAAATACTCATCAATCTAAAAAATCAAAGTTTCAATGAAGTACATCATAACTAAACAAAATTAAGTCCCCAACCTCTATCCCTAAAGATCACATGCATATAATGGAAAAAAAATCTAACTCAATTATTCTAACTCCTAAACCTAGCTAGTTAATGGAGGATATCATCAATACATGATAAAAATGCCAGTCATTAAATAATTAACCCATAGCTAGTCAATTTGAGATTATTTATGTAAGGTGCTTCACCATCATGTTGAATTTTCTTCTCTATTATAGCCTAATCCTTAACTTTTTGCCCCCACTTGTTTAACTCATTCTTATATTATTACTTAATCAAATCACAATCCTCAGGTTGCTATGGTAGGTTAAGGTCAGTCACACCTCATGTACACTAAATGTGATAGCATACAAATTATGCTATGACATCTTGTTCTCGCGAAGATTTTCTCATATAAGATAGAAATCAACTAACTTCAAGATATATCTGATGAGGTGGTCGGCTAACACTAATAGTAAATATGTCGTTCAATCCGAATAATAATAAAATCAATATAAATGATTTTATCTTTTAAAGTCTCCAAGCTACCAAACCCGTAATAATAACACAAGTATACGTATCGCTCAAGTAATAAAGGGCTCTAATGGAGTCCTAAGTATCGATCTCACAGGGAGTTGGAAATTCTTATGGTTATAACGTCAAACACAATATTCAAAATATAAAACGTATAAAACTTAAGTAAGAAAAACAAATCTAAAGTAAATTTAATGTGCGCAAAATGAAATGCAATTAAAAGAACTAAGTTAACTAAATTAATTGCTAAACTTTAATAGTAAACTTATAAATACTAAACAAAGTTTTAAAACGAAGAGTTCAAATTTAAGAAAGCATTCTTCCCCTTTACATTGAGTTTATGGAATGTGAAGAAATTAAAATCATTTATTATACAGATAAAATTGTATTGTGCCAAGTAAGAGCAATCATATTCTTTATCCTTTTATTGTGCATAAAGAACACTGACTAATCTAGAGTTTGGTCACTAAATTTGTGGTTAAGTTGAGAGGATACTGGCTGTCACTCCAGAGCTCTCACTTCTCCCTCTCCTGAGGGCTAACAACCTCGCTTTAGTTTCCAAGAAACTGGACCAAATTGGAGATTTTAATTTTTCACCTTCAAATCTCTAATTCTGCGCCCATCAAAGTATATTTTCCTATTATTTGCACGAAAACCTATGATTTACATTGTCACCCATGAAATTAAATGTGACTCTTACCTTGTTGTAGAAAGCATAACCCTTTTGGATTGTGTGTTTCTCAACAAAGTTTAACCTTTCAATTGTTCATATGGAAAAAGTAAATGAAGATCATAGTTTGAATCACCACAATTTATTGATATTTAAAACCTTACAAAATAAAACTAATTCTTTACAAAATCATATCTCATTGTAGGGAGAAAGATAAAGAAGACTACTCAGAATTCAGGAGATTCAAGAGAAGGATACGATAAAACATGGATTTCATAGATAAAAATAAGTTTACAAAACAACAAAAGAAAAAAACACAACTTATCTCATACTCCTTCCCAAGCTAATTCTTAGAAGTTCTCTTTAAGCACTTTCTCTCTTTACAATCACATTCAATTCTCTCTTAGAAGTGTCATGAAGAAGAAATCTCTCACCTTCCCACTCCTCTTACAACCCTAGAAGAAAATCCTCTCCTCTCTCACGCCAAAGCCCGTCTCTCTATCTCACGCCCCCTCTCTTCTCTAAACTCTACTCATTTTTAATTAGGGCCCGAAAAGAATTCAAAATTCCCTCCAAATTTTCCCTCGAAAGTCACACCCTTTTGCACCAAAAGATAAGTCCCCTCATCCAAGAGACATATCTCTTCATTAAAGAGCCTTCCAAAGTGTCTATATGCATTGAACCACTCCACGGTATGTTTAAAATATTTGGAGCCTTCAAAAACCGCTCAAAAATATTCATGAACCGACTTACTCCATCTTAATTTGTCTATGGTGCTTCTAACACCAATTTGGCCCTAGCCTAATGAAGTTCGCACTATTCTTTGGATTCTGGCGCTTTTGGTGCTAATCTGGCGCCTCTGGTGTAATTTCTCTGTAAAATGGTGCCTCTGGCACCAGTTTCTGGTGCTTCTGGTGCCATTTCTCAGGAAAATGACACCTCTGGTGCCAATCTGGTGCCTGTGGCGCCAGGATCACAAAAATCTCCATTTTGGCTCCAAATTTCCTTCTTTTTGCTACTTTTTTCTCCAAATGCCTAAAATTGATATACCTACAACAAAAATATGAAAATACCCTTCTTTAAAGTGTAATATCACAAAAATAAACATAAATATATACATAAAATAGTACATTATTTTGGTGTATCAAAATCCCCCAAACTTAAATGTTACTTGTCCTCAAGTGACCATTTACTTCATAAAAATATGACTTATGACAGAGATTAACTTATAAAAATCTATAATTTTTTTAATAAATATAATAGTATAACTTAAGAAAAACTTTTAATAACTTTGTTTAAAGTTAAAAGTATAAGAACAACTAGCAATTCATTCTAAGAGTTTTGAATCTCCATTCATTTCAAGAAAAATTGTAATTTTTCATATCAAAGATACTTAGAATGTCCATATGAAAAAAAAATTGATGAAAATTTTATTAGTATGGATGCTAATGCTCAAATACAAGTTTAGAAAATTTAATAAAGCTTTTTTCCTTAATTTGATTCAAGTGAAGTCATTTTTTGATTAAGCATCTCCTCAAGCTTCTCCTCACATATTTTTCTTTTTTTTTTCATTTTTTATTTTCTTTCTTTTCATTAGGATCTTTTCAATCCTACCTTTTCTTTTCTTTTTCGTGTGAGGATTACTATATCTAGATAGCCATTAATAATTTTTGAACTTCACTATCCCCTTCTTAAGAACTTCATTGTTCTCTTTTTAAAGTCAAAACTTCTTACCTTCACTTAATAAATTCATACTAGCTTTGAAAATTTTTTATAAAGTCTCATTCTTTTCTTCTTACATGAAACTCTAAGATTCTTAATAAATTAAAAATACAATTTCATTTACTTTAAATAGAAAAGCATAGTCTTATTCTTTCATATTAAATATCTTAACTCTAGAATTAACCTTCATTATTAAAGATTTTTGCTTAAACATACAATAATGTTTCTAATAAAAAATATAATTATTTAAAGTTAAACTCTAATATCCATGGTCATGTTAAATTAATTTTTAAAAGCATGGTTAATTGAGGACAAATAAAGT